AAATGTTCCTGTTCTGGGAAAAAAAAAATTCTGGATTCTAAGTTTGTTCTAATTCCTTTTCTGGGTTGTAGTAAGCCAGATATCCACAAGCTCAAAACAGCAGAAATCTTTTTATAATGAATAAATCCAGGGTGCGCCCTGTCTTGTCATCAAGAAGACTGGGAACAGGTCTTCAATTGCATTGAGAGACCATAATTTGTACATTTGGACGATATGCAAAGAAAGGCTCCAAAAGTAGAGGAAAAGACAGCACCAAAACAGAGCAGGCAGGGCAGGCATGGCCAGGAGGAGAGCAGAGGAAAAAAAGCGTCAGCCTTCACTGAAAGCAAAAGAGAGAAAAGTGATTCTTTGGCTGATAAAGAGTATTTTACCCACTTGGCTGTCAGATTAGAAGGTTCAAATCAGACTCTAACTTTGCACTTTCCATTTAGCCTATTAAAAATCAGTGTTATTCAGTGTATTTGTTTTTGCACTGATTCACAGTTAGTATTTTTTTTCACAGACTTTAGGCAATTGAAGTACATAACTGTACTGTATTGGTCTGCTTTTATTATCTCTACTTAATTGCACCCTGCCTTTGATCTCTAGGGTACCAGGGGACATAGATGAAGTTAATGCTTTAAAGCTGCAAGTTGATCAATGGAAAATTCCCACAGGACTGGAAGATCCACACATCCCAGGTGAACAGGATACTATGATTTATAATGTTTCTATCATAGTGTCTAGATAGATAAAAATATCTATCATAGATAAAAATTCTTCCATGTATTTTTTGTAACAGCTCAGCAACATGCATCTAGCGGCAAAATTAAGTCCAACTCACTTTCAGATCCAATTACAGTTTTAATCCTAAGCATTGCTTAGTAACATCAGTTGATTGGAACTGACGTTACTAAACATGGATTCAGGGACTTTGCATCAAGCTGAGCAAGTCAGTGGTGACAGTGACAATGTTTTTCTTTTCCTTTTAACATAGAGAAATTTCAAGCAAACTGTGAGGGTTTAAACAGACAGGACGCAAACAGAAAAAACTTGTGCAAAGAAGCTGTTTTAGTGATAATTTTGACTCTGGTAGTTTTTGTTTTTTGTGAAATAATTCAGGTTCTGTGCAAAATAAAGCATCTAAAATAAAACTATGATGTTCGGAAAAGCTGTATTATCTGTTTAACAGCATTTGGGGAATTTTTGAACAGTACTTTAAATTTAAGGGGAGTGGGGAGTAATATTTTTGACCTCAACTATAGCTCCATACATTTCTCTCACTCTAACCCATTTTATGGGTTACTTATGAACTATGTCAAAGTTCATAAGTAAAATAGACTAAGAGATGATGTGTCGTGAATTGGATTTGTTCTGCTCAACACTTGAAAGGGGCCAGTCACTTGGTGACTTTGTATCACCTGTATAATTATAGTAACTTGTCTTGTTTATTAACCTGAGTGAGTGGAGCATGTAGATATTAAGGAGGAGGGACTGAAAGATGGATCTGGGGATCTGAAGATCATCAGGGTGTTGTTTAAATGTTCTAACCTGTTGCTCTGTATTGTCGGGTTCAATCCCAGCTTCTTTGTTGAAACTCTGGTACCGGGAACTGGAAGAGCCGCTGATCCCTCATGAGTTCTACGAGGAGTGTATCAGTAGCTATGACAACCCAGAGGCTGCTGTCAATGTGGTTTTGGGCCTGCCACACATCAATAAGCTGGTACTCTGCTACCTCATTCGCTTCCTACAGGTAACACACTCACTCACAGTGCCAGAAGATGTGCTGTTGTATCAATCACCTGATCATTTTCTGATTCACTTGGAGCTGGAATATTTTAACCATTTCACACTGAGACAATTAATGAACAACTGATTCCTTTTACTTTTACTCACATACAGTATGAAGTAGAGCATGGTAATAAATTCATGCCAGCTATACTTGTGTAAAGGAGTTGATGTCTTCCTCTTGAAAATAATTTTTGCAATGTCACATGTATGTTCAGTATAACCTGTTATCAAAAAACTTATCTCCAACATGTCTAGAACAATCCTATTTCACCAGGAGTCAGTGCTGGTTTTCTCCCCAAAAAAAATTCTGCAACATTTTTTTTTTCTTTTTTAAAGGCAAACAAACATGCTGAAACTCAGCAGACTTAAAGGGATCCATTACTAGTTGTAACAATAGACTGTATTTGAGAAATATTTATTTTATATGTAAAAACAATAGTAAAAAAAATAGTACTGTAGGTTGTTTGGTTTTTTATGCATTTTAATAAAATATTGTCACAAGAATGTTGCCATGTTGTTCACACTGCAATGAATTATGGGTAAATGATGTCTATAGGTCCAGCTACCTGGCTCCTCCTGTCAAAACAGTGATGAGTAACATTATTAAGCCTTTTTAATTTGAACCGGAGCACATTGAAATCGATCAGAATGTAGAAAAGATGAGGAGGACCAAACAGAAGAAGAGGACAGAGTTGGTCGTAGGAGCTGGTGTTTGCTGCTGCTGCTGCCTTCAGCTTCGGAAATGAAACAATGAATGACACATACCTCTGGTCAGACTGTGTGATCTGGTATGTACTTCTATAGTTCTGTGTCTGGTCTGTTAACAGCTATTTCGGGTCCGGTTGAATTGGTGGTTTCAGTAATGGCAGACGTATAGCTCCGTTAGTATTTCAAAGAGCGTCCAGCTCTGCTTGGCAGCATTGCATTTATTTTAAACTTGTGAAGCTAATGATCACGTGTTAGAGCCTTTGTCAGTTTTACTTGTACAAATGACTCAAAGTCTTCTGGAGAGAAATGTTAAGGCCAAATTAAGGCCTTCAGAAGATGTGTTGGACTCCGGCTCTCCCACTGCACTCTTCTTTTTTTCATGTGGGATATTATCCAGATTCACTTCACTGAAAGTGGGTATGCAGCGCATGCATACCCACTTCCTCCTCAATCCCATATTGTGATTGTCAAGGCTGGAAACAGGCACATGCAGATACTAAGGAGAAAAAACGGATTTTGAGGTAAGAAAGTAAATTATTTGACCATGACTATATTTTGTTTAGAACTTATACTGTTGCAGATAAAACCATATGATTTACATTAGATGAAAGTGTAATTTCTCAGGCAAAATGTGATGCATTTTCCCATGCTAATTTCAAACCGCCATACTACTACAGCTAGCTAAACATGGCTAAGAGGGTGGGGTGGGTTGTTACACATCTTTAAAAAGTGTTACAACCATCCCCTTACATACAACTAAGAATATTTTTATTTTAATCATTTTACAGAATGCCTAGGCAGTGAATACAAAAGACTGATGCTACTTACCTTCCCCTCCCCACTGTTGCCATAAACTTCAGCCACTGGATCGCAGTGTCTACGGCCCATTTAAGAAAATGGTGAACGCCGCAAGTGATACCTGGATGAATATGAATCCTGCCAAGACGATATATGATATTCCAAGTATTGTGAAGACTGCTCAGCCTGCAGCTGCAACACCGAAAAACATTCATGCCGGTTTCCAATCCACAGGTATTTGGGCCTTCAATCCTGACATTTTTGAGGAGTATGACTATGCACCCTCACAAGTCACTGACTGTCCCGACCCAGGTACATCACTGACATCTGGAGCTTTCCAGCCGCAGTCTCCTCCAACTCACCTGGAGACTACTACTTCTGACTCCTCTGCAGTTAATGATGTGACCATGTCCTGTGCTCCAGATGAGCCAAGCACCTCGGGGGTGTCTCCTGGTCAGGCATTCAATCCTTTGGCTGTGCGGCCATTTCCAAAAGCAGGGCCAAGGGAAACAACTGGCAGGATCAGGAAGAAAAGGAAATCTGAAATACTCACTGACACACCAGTGAAACAAGCACTGATGGAAGAAGAACAGAGAAGAGGAAGCAAAAATGTAAGGAAGAGTTTCTTTGCGAAGAATAAAGGCAAGCAAAAGAGGAAGGGGAGAAAGCCTGCCAAGAAAATGTTAAAAGCCAACGCTGAGGATTCTGAGACCTCAGACGATCAATATTTTTGTGTTGTCTGTATGGAGCCATTTGGGCCCACCAAGCCTGCACTCCTGAGCTACCATCATTCGTCACCACTGTTACTCTGATTAAGGATACACACACATAGACACAAACACACACATACATTGACATTGGTTTTTGTTAAACTTACATGTTTGTTCAGTGTTTATTAAGCATACATTATACATGTTAAGGAAGTTTGTTCTAGTAGAATAATTTACACACGTGCACACACACAGAGTATATTTGAGTTATGGTCAGTCACAGAGAGAGAGAGAGATTGTTCTTGTATTGTTCTTTTAATTCAGTAAACCTCTTTTTGAAGCATATTACATGGTGTGGCCTCTGTTTTTGCTTCTATTGTCTAATTGTTACAACTTACCCCAGCAGGTGTTACAACCTACCCCGGAATAACCGAGCTAAGATCCTGTGGGACTTCACCCCGGTGATTTCTGGTAAGTCTATGCCTTACCAGAAATCAGATACCCTGCAGGAATAATTAGCTGGCCAATGAAAGACATGAAGACCACAGATGTTAAGACTCGGAAGCTACTAACCATGCATGGAGGGTTCCACCCCAAATCCAGCACCCTGAGACTGTACACGAGCTGTAAGGAAGGAGGCAGAGGACTAGTGAGTGTGAGAGCCACTGTCCAGGATGAAACATCCAAGATCCATAAATACATCAA